TTCGCCAGTGAGTAGTCTAATCAATCTCTCTAGCATCCTTTATGATTTTTTTCTTTCTTGCTTACTTTGTGGTGGTAGATTACAATGTATCTTGGGAATAGTCTTCCCATGTAATACTTTGAAAGAGTTCTCTTGAATCTCTTGCACTTGGATAATTACCCTTTTAGAGAGATATGAGAAAATCATTGGATAATCTCAAGGAAACTTGTTCCGCCGTGGCCTCAATATTCCCTTCTGTTTTGTAGACACCAATCAACTGTAGATTTTTTTTTTTTAGCATAGACTTGCTCATTTTTTTCAACCTTTTCTTCTTATTTATGACAGACTTCGTTAGTTCAATATTTTGGTCTTTATGCTCTGAGAGTCTTTTCTCTCCCTGATTGACTCTGCTTCCAAGGTCTGTTACTGTACTTTGAAATTCTAGGAGGGAGTTCTTCATTTCTGGCATTTCAGAATAGACCTTTCTTATATTGGCCAATTCAACCTTTACTTCTTACACGACTTGGGTTAATTTAGTCAAAACTTCACTGCCTCGTGCTATTCATGTAAATTGCCAGTGTTGATATGGACAAGTGCATAGAAGGAATCTCAAAAAAAAAAAAAATCACTGAAGTTGAACATAGCTTCGCAAAACTTTGGTAGCTAGTACACTAATGCCAGTGAGTTCACAGATACTTAAAAGGGGAAGCCTGTACTACAAAGGGTCCACCCTAAAAAAATCCTCTGTTTTTTTAGGTATCCTTCATGTATAGTCATACCATTACATACAGAACATAACACTTGATAGTATAAAACTATGTTACTGGTTAATGTGTTTTCTATATTATACTTTTTATTGCTGTTATATATTGTACTTTTTCTACTTATAAAAATTTGCTAACTGTAAAACAATAGCTTAGGCAGGTCTTTCAGGAGGTGCTCAAGATCATAGAAGATGACAGTTCCATGTATGTTATTGTCCCTGAAGACATTCCAGTGGAATAAGATGTGGAGGTACAAGACAGTACATTGATTATCCTGGCCCTGAGTAGGCATTGTCTAATGCATGTGTTTCTATCTTAACTTTTCAAAACAATTTTGAAAAGTAAAAAATTATGATAAAAATTTTCAAATAGTAGAAGTCTTATAGAATAAAAATACTTAGAAAATATATTTGTACAGCTGAACAGTGTGTGTTTTTAGACATGTTATTTAGCTACTTGGAAGGCTGAGGTGGAAGGATCGCTGGAGTCCAGCAGCTCGAGGCTCCGGTGGCCCGGAGCGGCCACTGCACTCCAGTCTGGG